AGACTCGAATCGTCGGTGCTGGTCATACTATCAGCATTGAAGGAGAGAGTGGAAGCTGCGTCGCCTCTGTTGGCCGCGTTTGATTTCTGCAAACCGGCGACTTTCTCGGAAAAGGCAACATCACGCTCCATCCTAGCTTGATTCTCGTCCCCACCGGCACGCCAGATCATGTTGAGGCGCGTCTCAATAGGATCATCCTGGGCCTCTATGGTTAAAATGCGAATGTTGACAGAAATGTACGGCAAGCGTTTTGGCCCTTCTGCCACAGGAAAGATGACGGACTCCTTCTTGTCCTGAAGAAACTGTGCGATAAGCTGTTTCGTTGCTTTGACAGCCACTGTTGTGTTATCGATGATGGGGTGGACTGCATAGTCGAACGGAATCCGCAGCGAAGCAGCGTCACCATTCAGAACGATCTCGTGCGCGCTATGTCCATGCCCATCGCTGTCTTCCTTCCGGGGCGCATCCGGTTGATGCTTGCGGAATGCAATTTTCCAGTCGCGAAGTCGGACAGCTTCTTCCCACAGACCAGTCTTTGGCTGTTTGGGGCTCTCGACGGCGCCCATCAACGACTCCCACGCCAGAGAAGCACCGTCTGCATTCGTGTAGCGGAAGTCCAGTCGACGCAAGCTCAAGAACAGATTGACATCGCTCGGCAGTGCGACCGAGACGTGGATGTCCGTAATGTCAAAAGTGACATGCACTGACGGCAACGTGTTCGAATCGCCTTCCAGCTCTTGTTCTCGTCTGCTTGATTGCTCGTGCTCTCGCATTTCATGGGACTTCTTGGGCTTCTCTGGTATCAACTGTTTAAGCGAATGTAGGGCCACAAGCAGACAGTACGTGTGAAGTAGCTCGATCTTGAACGCCAAGAGTCGCGTGCCTTCAGAGCAGATCGTGAGCTCGTCAACATGCTTGCCAATTTTTGTCGACACTGCTCCCGGTGGTCTCAAGAAGATCTTCGTGGCCGAGAACGGCATCCAAAAGATGAAATTTGACCGGTCTTGCTGGCGAAACTTTGGCTTGCTTCGCTCCGCATGGGTCACTTGAGGTTTGCGCTTTTGGAAATCCCACACAGCCGGGGCGAAGATGGAGGGTGAATTGACCATCGATCCCCCTTGACCTTGCGGCTTGGTCTCTGTCGATGCTTCTCGAAACCCTCTTCTTCTTGGGCGATGTTGCTGCTCAGGGTCCATATGCTGTGCTAATGCAGCAGCCGCATCAAGCAGGGGAAAGAGGCCTATCTCGAACAAGCTGAGCTTGAAAGCTGCTGCGCGGCCGTGACGTGCGGCGAGCGCATTGACGCTCATGGTGAGATCTTCGGGCAACTGCAGCGCAGATCTGGCGCCCCAATCGCCCCCTCCCAGCTCGGCGCGGACTGGATCGTGGCGACCTCCCAGCGCTTCAAACACAACACGCTTCGCCTCGAAGCCTACTCCCCGCGACATGTGGGGATCACAGTTGGGATCGCTTCCGCCCATATGCGCGATGATCGTGCCAATGGATACGTATATCCCACAGCTTGCTGGCACCCGTTCGACGAGAGCAACTCGGCCGGTCCCTGCTGGAGCTGGCTGAGCTGTCTCACCATCACTTGCTTGGTGCCTAGCCTGATCGGGCACGTTCGGCACTGCGTCGGAAAAGGCTTGCGAAAGCCTACGAATCGTAGACAAGACGGTGGGCTGCCACAGGTCGACGTCGAGTTCCTCTAGCGCGCATCGCAGCTCCATAGCGAGACCGCTTGACGAGAGGTCGACTTCACCGGATGGATGCTCAAAGCCGTTGATGCTGCCGCTTGCATTGACGTCTGTGGCACTCAACATCACCAGGTGATGACGCGTGATTCCGAAATTGGGCAGGTGTCGCCCAGCAAAAGGGGTGCCATGACGTCGTCGTGAGCTCCAGCCCTCACCGCCCACTACCAGAAAGGCCTCTACAGGCTCCAATGCAAAGCTTGCGTCGAAGACGTAACGTACATTCGGATGCGACAGATTTGAGCTAGCTCGACTCCTTCTCGCAGAAGAAGAGGATCGGCGTCTCGCCCGGGCGGGCTCTTGTTGCGCTGCATACAGATCTGTTCCACCTTGCTCTGCTGCCTGTATGCGCCGCATTTGAGCAAGGGCTTCCTCCATGGTCATGCCTTTACCTTGCTTTGCATCATCTTCTGAGGCCTGGACGAACGTGGCGGAGCCTGGCGTCATGGAAGCCGACGAGGGTCGTCTCTCTCGAGCAGCCGAACTAGCTTCCTCTACAAATGTTGGCACGCCATCAACCCCACGCTGCCGCTTGAAGTGAGCTTTCCACGCCGCTCGACGTTCGGGCTCTGTCCGCGGGGCTTGTTGATCTACATAGCTTGCTTGCAGGGTGAAGAGCAATCTTGGAGTAGAGCAAATCAGACCAGAGTCGATGGCGTGTCTTTCCTTGGAGGCGACCTCCGAGTATGGGGCATCCAGATGGAAAGAGACGTCGTTGACCTCTACTCCCACAATCAGTCGAGGGGGTCGGATGTGCACACCGTTCGGAGCGTCAGGTCGCTCTGTCTTGAGACCGTGCTTTTTGCGTGCTTGCTTTCGCTCCAGGGTGCGAAGCACAGCCGTCGAGGTCAACGCAGTTGCGTGCGTCAAGCTAAGCCCGCCGTTTACGCGACCCAAAGAAGCTTCTACGACGCAGGTTTGTTCGTTCAAGTCGCCCTGGAAGTAGCGATAAGACCCTGCACCTGCATCGTCGTTGTCTGCGCTCTTCGGCACGAGACCAAAAGGAGTCCAGCTCGATCGAGCTGCGACGATAGCGTCTTGCAGGTACAGGACCTGCGAAGCTTTGACCGCTGGCTGGCCATCGATTCCAACAAGCGCCTCAAAGCTGGTCATTGATGCTTCCACACTGAAAGCGCGACGGAGCTCAACATAACGCACGCGCGCACGATTCGCAGCCCACCGGAAACGGTCCCCCAAACCTTTTCTGATCGCCCCAACGCCTGCCGCGGGATTCCAGGAGATTGGGGCGGGCGCCTTTCCAAGCACCCCGCACGAACCCAGCCAGTGCCTATGTCGAGGATCTCGCGTTTGACTGGTTCGAATGCGGAAGGAGAGTCCGCACATTGTGGCGCAGAGCTGCAATGAAGCCGGCGCATTGCCTGCCGTAGAGCCCTGTTGGCCTTTCAGCACGTCCGAACTTGTTGGGTGGAGGTTTGCGAGCATGCGAATGCGAGGTACAGCTATAGAAGCGGAGCCGAGCGCGCGAATGAAATGCATCATGGGCGCAGCGCGCTGCTGAGCGATGTGCTTGGAGGTCTGCGAGCGCGTCCTGCGAGGAGACGTGGGGCTGGGCGTCAACTTTGCACGCGACCAAGCCGCATGGCGCTGCCGAAGCAGCACCTGACTGAGACTCACCCGTGCGCTCCTTCTGACGTTGGACTTGGACCTCGCCGTACCGCTTTTCTGCTTTCCAGGATCCCAAGCACTCGACTCAAGGCATCGATGCCGATGGTCATCTCCGCGACATCGAGCTTCACATGAACCGAGTCTGGCGATGTAAGGTCGAGGTTCGGCGCTAGTGTGAGGCCCAACTCTACGGCAGTAACCCCAGGTAGGGCGATAAGTCGAGCGGACTCAGGAATAGCCTGTCCTAGCGCACCTTCTCTTGCCCAACCAGTGTCGGACGAAAAGTCAGAGCTCGGAAAGGGTTCCAAGGCCCAGTCAGCCCAGCGATCCGTCCAGCCGCTCAAAGAAGTGCTCGCCATGGTGGCAATTTTGGAGGCGCTCTTGGAGCGCAGCAAAGGTGGCGCCATCGTAGGAGAGGTGGCGCTGAACGACAGCCACTCTACGCTTGGTGCATTCTCGATGGATGACATGCGCTGCTTGTTGCGCTTCTCGCGCGGGCTTGCCAACTGTGACCCGACAGTACTGGAACTACTCCTCGACAGCGGTGTCCGACTGACGGAAGGAGATGGAAGAGGCGTAGTCCGAGAATCGCTACGGCCGAGGGAACGTTGGTAGTCGGCAAAGATTGAAGATGTTGGAGCGTCTGCGTTGGCCGAGTGCATGGTTCGAGTAGCTGTAGGCTCAGAGGCTGGCGAATGTCTGGCCTCAAACATCTGCACAGCCTCAAGGCTGAGCTGCAAAGTACCTCGACCAGCCGGGATCCCTGCGGTGATGTAGGAAGCCGCACCTTTGGCTCTGCTTCCGATCCGTTGTGGCACAGAGTTCAGCACTGCGAATACTTGCTCTGGGAAACCTGCTGAGCTGCTCCTCCGGCTGTCCAAGCCGCGTCCTCCCCGCGTGTCTTCCGCTTCCGAGCTCAACTCTGTGTTGACGAATGACATGTTGAGCTTCGCGCCGATGCGTCCCACCCGTAGCACAGCTTCAGCATCTTGGGCATACACCTCCACTCTCTGAATGTCGATGTCCACGAAGGACGTTATTGCTGGCAGCGCTGAGAAGAGGATGTAGACAAGCGCACGGAGAATATCCAGTAATCTTCTTCGTAGAAAGGGAAGCAGACACGTCTGCAACCAGGACATGAGTAGCTGCAAGGCGGTCGGCTGTCGCTTTGCCACTTGCAAGGTGGCCTCGTCCTCCTCTCCTTTGACCTCGCCCTCATCTTCCGAGCTCTGAAAGGTGCTTCT